CTAGAGCTTTATTTTGTTCTTTCATTTGGAATATATTTCTGTTTCCTCATTTTGGTTGGTTTCTATTCTATGCATTTGACGAAAAAGGTATTTCTCTTGTTCTTGAAAGAATGACCTTGTATGGATGAACCTTATCATACAACCCTGCCCTAGCTCATGGTTGTCTCTTGAACCTTTATGATTGTCTAAGCACCCTGATTCATTATTGATAACTCCTAGTTGTTGAGATAGTCCATATCCTCTGAATGTTCCAGAGGGAGGGATCTTTCAGCCCCTAGTTTCGGCTGGTTGGAAACTAGATCCTCAGGCAGCAGCTTTAAAGTTATGTAAATAGTTTGTGGGACAGCAATCAGAAAGTCTGCTGGTCTTCAGACCCATCAATCTGGAAACATACCCTTGGTGACAATGGCAATAAATGTGTGGCTTCATACTTATGAAATCCCTGAAAGGATTAGGGAGGTACCAGTGAGCGCAGCAAGGCCAAGGGAGAGTGCAAAGATGATATCACCTGGTCTATGTTCACTGAGAATACTTTGATAGGCTTTAGGTGTGTGGTAATCCTAAAGTGTTCCTCTCAGTAGAAGTTCCAGGATAAGTAAATAGGAAGACTGTGTTTCCTTCTACTGTTTGTAGAGCCCTGAGGGTGGTAGCCTGCCAAGAACTTTCTCTTCTATTATTTCAGACCTGTGGGGCCCAGAAACACAATTCTCCCTGGCCACCAGAGCCAGGTGTTCAAGGAGCATTCCCTGTGTAGGCTGTAAATTCTGCTGGCTGTGGTGGGGCTGCAGGGATGGCACAGGGCCAGGATGTGCCCACCAGCACTAGAAAGGTAGAGGGAGAAAGCAAAAATGACACCTACCAGCACTTCTATCCTGGAGAGAGTTTGAATAAGCTCCTCCTCCTCTGGCAGATGCTTTAGGATTGGCAAATGAATTTCCTTCATGTAGGTCCAGGTGCTCTCCATACTGCTGCTTTTGTGCTTGGTCCTGTGGCAAGTGAGTCTATGTACAAGTTCTTCAAGAGTAGGAGCTCTGTTCCCTACAACTTTTTGTTCTCCTGGATGTAAGCCCTGTTGGTTTTCAAAGCCAGACATTTGGGGAGCTCATTGCTCTGGTGCAGGTCTGAAGGGTTGAGGTGCCTTATATATGTCATAAGCCCCTTGCTTATCAGGGAGAAGCTGCTTGAGATCCTTCATGACTGTGGGTCACCACCACACGGTGGATGGAGTTTTGGATGAGACCATATCTCTGCCTCTTCTACATTTCTCGGTGTGGTTCTATTATTCTTTGTTGTGCAGGAGCAATTCAGCTAGTTTTCAGGTATTTTTCTGGGGGAATGATTTCATATGTAGCTGTAGATTTGCTCTATCTATAGGAGGAGATGAATTCAGGACTTACGCTGCCCTCTTGGAATGCCTCCTTGTTTTGTGTTTATAGTAGCCATTCTAATGGGTGTGAAGTGGTATATCATTGTGGTTTTGATTTGCATTTCTTTAATTTTTGATGTAGAGTATTTTCATGTGCTTATTGGTCATTTAGTTTTCTTCTCTGGAAAAATATCTGTTCAAATTCTTTGCCCATTTTTAAGCATATTTTGTTGTTGGGTAGCAGGAGTTCTTTATATATTCAGATATTAATCCCTTATTAGATATATGATTTGTAGATATTTTCTTCCATTCCATAGGTTGCCTTTTTACTTTGCTAATTGTGTCCTTTGATTCACAAAAGTTTTTTTAATTTACATGAAGTCCAATTATGTATTTTTCTTTTGTTGCTTATGCTTTCAGTGTCATATCAAAAAATTACAAATTCAATGTCATGATGCTTTTCCCATGTTTTCTTCTAAGAATTTTAGTTTTAGCCATTACATTTAGGTCTTTATCTTTTTTTTCTTAAAAATAAAAATGAAAATGCTGAACTGTGCTTTTGAATTAATCAACTTTTCTAGGATGATATTTGTAAATTTTCCCCCTTAATCATTGTTTGATGTTTTTTACAAGAACTAATTTACTCACATATGAGCTGCACTATTTGATGTAATTTAATTCAAATAAAAGGTTTTTTTTAAATTTTGTAATGATTGCCTGTTATTGTTTTCTAATTTTTAAATTCAGGGTATATTTTCCATCCTTTTGTTATCTTTTTAAATTCTCATTTGAGGTGCATCTAGGTGGCTTAGTTGGTTAAGTGTCAACTAATGGTTTCAGCTCAGGTCATGATTTCCAGGTCATGAGATTGAGCCCCATGTTAGACTCCATGCTCAGTGAGGAGTGTGCTTGAAATTCTTTCTCCTCCTCCCTCTCCTTCCCCTTTGCTCCTCCCCACCCCCGTTTGTACCTTGTTCTCTATCTCTCTCTCTCTAAAATAAATAAATAAATAAATAAATAAATTCTTTAAAAAAATAATCTCAATTGATACTTCATTACTCTCGAGATTATATTTTTCTGGATTGGGCTGACATTGTTTTTCCTTTGTTTCTAACTATATAATAAAGTCTTTCTTTGATCTTTTTCGCCTATCTATACCTAAAACTTTGATGTTCTTATTTTATATTCTTAGTTTTCTCTTCTTTCTATACATTTATGGCCATTTCATACATACTCATAGCTATAAGTACCACTATATTTTGATTTTTAAGAATATTCTTTCTGAAACCTGATTATATCATTCCACTGCTTACAGTCTTCTTATAGCTTCCTTTTTTCTCTTAGAATAAAATCTAAACTTGTCTGCAGCCTGACATATAAGAAGTTCCATGATCTGGTTTCTGATATTCCTTCCTGGCTAAACTGCTTCTTTCTTACACTATCCAGTGTGTACTATCCAATTATCGTGAATCATTCAGGTTTCCCAGAATTCCTATATAATTATCTTTCAAGTATGTCACTCACTCATGAGTACTGATAGAACACTCATCTTTTAAGATTCAATGTGTAAATATCTTTAAAAAACAAAACTCGAGTTTAGCACAACTACTATTCCAGATACTTCTTATTAAATAGAGTTTAAATGTATTATTATTGAATTAAGATACTCCTTTTATGCTTCTGGTGAACAATCTCCTAATTTGGCAGCCAAACTTTATTATTATATCATAATAGCAAGGTTGGCTGTTTGTCAGAAGTTCAGGTGTATTTGTATGTGTGTGTGTAAATATTTACCCCTCTACACTTGACATACATAATTCTGTGAAGTATTCATTAGAAGTCATTTTATACTTGTACAGTTTTATGTTGAAGCTATACAGTCATTTTCCTAGCAAAATAACTGGAAATAAAAGAATTTAATTATAGCAATGGAAGCCTAAAACCAGAATTTTACTTTGTGATTATTTCTTATTCTTTGTTTTTATGGGTATACATTTGGAACCAGCATTAATTCTATTAGTCATCCAAATTTTGAATACTTTACTTTTAGAAACTCTTACTGTTAAGTTAATGCTTATGTATCTATAATATGTCATTCTCTCTGAGACCATCAGTAATACTGAAATATATAAAAGAAAATACTGTGAACAAATCTGTATAATTTTAGTTTTCTGAAAAGAGGGAATAAGAGAGACTACATTTATGTTCCTAATCAGAGGAAACTATATCGTAGGTTCACAGTATTAATTAAAAAACCAGGGGCGCCTGGGTGGCTCAGTGGGTTAAAGCCTCTGCTTTCGGCTCAGGTCATGATTCCAGGATCCTGGGATCGAGCCCCGCATCGGGCTCTCTGCTCGGCAGAGAGCCTGCTTCCTCCTCTCTCTCTCTCTCTCTCTCTGCTTCTCTGCCTATTTGTGATCTCTGTCTGTCAAAATAAATCAATAAAATCTTTAAAAAAAAAAAAAAACCAGAAGTAAATCTATAATTGTAATATTTTTTCTTTTTCTTTTTAATCCAGTGCCACAGGCTATATAGATTGATATTTAGATTTTATAATTGAAGTTATCCTTACCTGATCAACATCAGGAAGTATAAAGACATTTTAAAAGCTAGACTTTAAAAAACCTTATGTAGTCATAGGAGTTTTGTATAGACAGAGCATTAAATATCATCCAGGATATTCTCTGGATATATTTCATTTCTTAATGGTCAAGAGATAAGTTCTATAGTCATTGCTTTTAAGTAATTCTAAGGAGAATTCCAAATAGGCAGTTTTGAGCACACATTTCACAAACACTTACAGAAATTGGAATTATTAAGGTTTGTTAGTTAATTTATAAGACAAATTGTGAGAAGTTATATGTCTCATATCCAAATTCCTTAATATTATTACCATTTTTGAGCAATTGTCATTTTCTCTGGTATATTGTGCACAACTAAATATTTTAAGAATAAAAATCATGTGTATAATTTATATATTTATATTGGGTTTATATGCATAATTTGGAAAAAGTGAGCATGCATATCAAGGTACATTATTATTATACATATTCAGGGAAGTAGATGTGTTATATCTTCTATTTAATCCCATTTTTGTGAGTCAAGTAGTGACTGGTAGCTCTTTAGAAACGAACTATGTAGAATAACCTGTATGTTGTATTTTAGTACAATGATCATACGAAATTGTATCTATTCCTTAAAAATTAAGTTTAAGATTTTAAAATTAAAATGGAAAATGGAAGCATTCAGTGATATGATAAAAAGTTGTATTGTTGTTTTTATTCAATCCCATTGTTTTTGAATTTAATTATTTAAATGATTTCTTGAATTTAATGATTTAAATGATTTCCTCTATAGATAGCATTAGCGTATTTTATAATAATGAAGTTTTGCCAAATACAGATTTGTACTCAATAGAAATATTGCTGTTATGCTTATATTTGATTATCTTTTTCATATTTGTTAAATTTAAATATTTCAATTTCTGTTATTTGAAACATTCTTGAGGAAAGCAGTTGTCTAATCTGAATTTGTCTAATCTGAAAAGGCACAGTGCATGATTTATCAAGTAGTTTTAATTATATCACTTAGTATATAATTCATTTATAAAGTGTACTTTTTCATTTTACTCTAGGAAAATGATTTGAATGAAACTCTCAAATCACTCTATAGCCACCCAGTACCAAAGGCAAACACTCCTGTCAGTTTGAGTGTGGTAAGTATTCAGTTATTAACTGATTTTTTTGGTCATAGCACTTTGTCATTTAAGAACGCATGCACCTTCAGCAAGCTCTGCTACCGGGGAAATGTCAATGCTAGTAACATTACTGTAGGGTGATAGTGGGACTTTTTGCCATGCTTCAACTATCATATTTTAGATGTATATTTTTATAGATCGTGAATCACAGACTTTTTAAATTTACAGTAGCAGTAACAAAATCTATGAGAATATTTTGTGAGGAATATTGATTTTCAGGTGGTAAACTTTATCCTTAAAAAGGAAACACACACACATGTACACACACGTGCACAATACCCCTCCTAAAATGAAAACAGTACATAAATAAGAATTGAAAGTTTACCATATAACTAACTATATGATAAAAATTGTGGGCGAAAAGTTTTTTCTTTCCCTACACTGTGATCCATCTTCCCTTATAAACACCAAACACGGAGCGCCTGGGTGGCTCAGTGGGTTAAAGCTTCTGCCTTCGGCTCAGGTTGTGATCCTAGACCTCCAGAGAGCTGGATGCTGGGATTGAGCCCCACATCAGGCTCTCTTCTCAGCAGGGAGCCTATTTCCTCCTCTCTCTCTGCCTGCCTCTCTGCCTACTTGTGATCTCTGTCTGTCAAATAAATAAATAAAATCTTTTAAAAAAAATAAAATAAACACCAAACACTGAAAATATGGTTGAAGTTTGTCAAACAGTAAGCCTGTGGTGGTGTAGATTACTTACTGCCAAGAGTTTTAATGTGCACATTAGTATTTTGGAAGATTTTGTAAATGTTCAAAGTTAATGATCATACATGTGGATGTTTTCATTAATAGTCATCATACCAAATCAGATGTTAAAATTTATTTGTATTCATTTTAATTCCTCTAATGTAATGGTAAATTGTGCCACTTATAAGGAAGAAAAAAATATATAACGATGCAAGAGAAATTGAAAGAAAAAGTAAATTGAAGTGTATGTAATCATATTCACAGGTCTTTTGCTTTTTTGCACGATAAAGAAATTGTTATTTTCATTATATTCTTTGGTAATAACTTTCTTTTGCTTAAATTTTTCCTGTAATTTTGCTTAACAGTATTCTCTGACATTGTTCTGTTCTATTATTACTGTCAGCACCCTGGTTCAGATGCTTAGCACTTTAAATAGTTCTTACTTTAGAGTCTCTCTTTCTAATCCTTTCTACAAAACTCTATCAGATTAAACTTCCTTAAACTATATAAAGTTTCTTTCTGAAACCTAAAAGCTCCCCATTTTCTGTAGAATTTGTCCAGACTTTCCAGCAGGCTTTCATGACCACACACTACTTAGCCTCAGTCTACCTTTTCATTTTTCTGTCTCATTTTTTTTTTTCTAAGTTGATTTTCTACTCTGGTCACATTGTTCTGTTCATCTTCTTGAATGAACATCGTGTTTTCTCACTTGTACACCTTCCTTTTTTACTAAAGCCTCTTTGTAGACTATCCATCTTTAGTCTAGAACTAGCTCACTTCCCACCTTTGTGAAACTTTCCTGTGTCGTTAACAGCGTAAATTGTTCTTTTTCCCCCAGGATCTCTGTACCTTTATGTCTGCACTCTCTTTTTGAACACTGCCAAAGTGGAAATATTTAATAGTCATTTGGAGATTGCACACTGGAAATCTAAGGATAACCTGAAATTTTTAACCCAGATATAGCAGTCATCTGCAGAAATAGTTGTAAGAATACTTGAGCTATTTAAAGGACAGAATATAGAGAGAATAAAGCAGAGGCTGATGTCTAATTGCCAAAATACACTATAGAAGAAGAAAGGAGGTCAAGTGAAAGAATTGGAAGAAGGAACAGTTAAGGAGAAACTCAAATTTGTAGGTCACTAAACCCAAAAGAATGCAAGGTTAGTGGTTAGTGGAATGAGGTAGAAAGGTCAAGGAAAAACATCAAGATCAAAGAAAAGGTCTAGATTGTAAAAAATAAGTATCATTCTTTGAAGGAGTTGTGTTTATAAAATGATTCTAACACTTTGTTATAGGGTAAAGGAAATATAGGTACTAAGATAATAGAGGATAACTATCCTAGATCGTTAATGGAGTTTGAGTGCTATGAATTCTGTAAGACTGATGATTCATAGACCTATACCCCTGAAACAAACAATACATTATATGTAAATAAATAAGTAAATAAATTCTTTAAAAAAACTGTGCTGGTTTTAAATTGGAGTGTCATTTGTTCTGGAGTAAATAAATATCCTCTAAAAATACATTTCAAAAATACTGGATATTGAAATACTTCACCTTTATTAGTAAGAGTCATATATCAAAACTATTAGATCTCTTAATATCTAAGAAGAGAAGATACTGGTTTAAGTCATGGTCACTAAATGTGTGATGTTAGCAAAAAAGTTAATATCTTGTGAAAATTATTTTTCTTCATATGAGAAATTGAGTGAGTCCATTTTTGAGAAACTTGTTTGGGGAATTGTGTGAAATGATATATCTAGATATACTATGAAAAGCTATCCTAACATTAGTTGTTAAATGAATTGAAAATTTATTTCATTTGGATAAGATATTTTGTACCATAGCTGAAATAATCTTGTTTAGGGAATTTGAGTGACTGTGTTCCATGCTATGTATTCATTTCTATAATTTAAGCCTTTTTGTGAGCTTTTGAGTCAATGACTATGGTAGCTTTCAAATCTTGTACACCTTTTCTCAATACAGTATCTAAAGAATTGGCAGATTCAGCTGGTTGATAAAATATTGTCTTAAATTCGTGTAAAGTCCATTTAGTAATTTCATTTGATTTCAGCTAGAGCTTACTAAAGTGCTATGCCTAGTGCTGTGCTGTTCCTGACTGGCAGAGTTGGGATCCAGAAACATTGTCCTCAGCTACTTGTTGAGGTTTTAGTTTTATGATGCCCAGTAATGATTGATCATCCTAGGAATTATTGTTCTCCACAAAGTGGAAAGAAAATTTTGTTTGCACAATTTCTGATAGAAAAATGTGAGAAGCCTTGGGAAACTACTCTACTTTCTTATAATACCATATTTTGTGAATGCTCCAACACATAAATTTTTCAAGGCTTGACATTGAAACTATAAGAATATCACAGAGATTGTATAAAAAGTTAATATTTAATGTAAATGCTTACTTTGAAAGTACATTTCAAATTCATTAAATATCCACAGCATTTTCTACTCTCTGTTGAAAATGAAAATACTTTCTTTGAGATTTTTCTAGCATAAAATTAGCAAAACAGCATTTAAAATAGCATTTATAATTATAGTTGGATACTGTGGATAATGTGACTACACGAATTTGTCTCAGATACACAGCAAATTGTGTAAACTTCCCCCATGAAAGTAAAATATTCATTTTTTCTCTCATATATTATAAGAACCAAGAGATATTTATTGCCAGTGAGCAAGTTCTGAAAGATCAGCCCTTCCTAGTACCGGTGAGTTAAAAGGTCATTGGCTTCTAAAAATCACTATTAAATTGAGAAAATAATTACTTCTTTCACTGTGTTTTTAAGATTCACTCCAGTCCTTTGGGAAATGGTTAATTTGACTCTTTTAAGAAAATTAATCATTTGGAGTATATTTTCTGTTTATACTATCTTTTAGAGCATAGTTTTATGAAATACAGTACTATTAAAAACCCCTCCAAATAAAGTAGTTAATAGAGACCAAATCTATGCATATTCTCCATTGTCAGTAGTAGTAATGTTAATGTGCATTCACAGCATGAAATTTCTGTCACATTTTTTGTCACAAGGTCTCAGGAGACCTCGTGATTTATCTCATATTGTTCTTCTACTCTGGAAAATTATACATTATGACTGTGCTAACTAGCCTGTTCTGACTGGTTAACTGTGCTCAGTATTGGCTAGAATGTTTCTTTTCCGGTTTTTAACTATAAGTATTAAGTATGTCCTTATGTGGTTAAAGATAGGAAGATAATTTTGGAGATTAATATGAACAGAAAATAAAACAATTCTGGTGATTTCGTTTTACTGATTCTGGGTGGTAAAATTTGGGAACATGAATGGGGAACATGAAGACATACACACTATGCTTTTTATATAAATAGATCTATGAACTGTTGTATTGCTTTGAATATTATAGAAGGTAATTACTGTTTAGTGGGCGTATGAGGGTCATATTTTGAGATGATTACATTTTTAAAAGGTTTTAAATATTTAAAAATTATGTCCTATTGCTGCTTTCTAAATAATATAATAGCTGATCTGTACCAGAAGATTTTGTTGTGACTTACCACAGACACTCTGGAATCTATGGCAAACCTCATTATTTTCCAGTCTCCCTAAATGTGTTTTTATGTATATGTGTGTATTATATATCTCTATCTATCTATATATATCTTTCAGTAATGTACTTTTTGTCTTAAACTTTTTCCATGATTATTATTTTCAGTTTTAAAGTTGAATGTTTTTAACCAACACTTAACTCTTTGTCTGAGGTTTTTATTCAATATCATATAAACCTGCCATGTTATTTAAGAATCTCTCAAATTCAGCAAATCCTGAATGTTAATCCTTGGCATTTATTAATTTAGTTGATGTATCTTTTCTTATTTTTTTCAAATTATATGTATTGCTACCAAATTTTAATTCTGCTTTTATTACGTGATTTATTTCTATTTATTAGCATTCCTACTTCATTGCCCCAGATGTAACTGGACTCCCAACAATTCCTGAGAGTGTAAGTTTTCTGTTTCCTGTACTTTTTAATGCTACTCATATTATGAATTATATTTACTTTTGTCTCAGTGCCTAAAGATTTCTGTATAGAGAAATAGAATACATTGTAATTACATGTTTTGTTAGATATAAGAAATAGGAATAATGTCGTTATCTCCTTTTCTTCTTGATGTGTCTGCTACTTTACTCCCTTTTTAATATCGGTTGTACGTAAGGAAAATTTTACGAGAAATACGGTTTCTACCATTTGAGATAGTTCAGTAGGATCATACACACACACACACACACACACACACACACACACACACACACACACGTATATTAGGTCCTGAGCTCCCCTGGATGAGGTAGAGGAAATATCTCAGATGACTCTACTTAGTAGGGGATAAATACTGGCAATGGGAAATATTTTTATACACATAGTTACTTTAGTGAAGTGACTATAGCATTTTAGATTACTTGTATAACTCCATGAAAATCTTAGTGTCCTATACTTGGTTTCTTTTTTTTTTTTTTTCTTTTTTTAAAAAGATTTTATTTATTTATTTGACACAGAGAGAGAGGGAGAGAGCAAGCACAAGCAGGCGGAATGGCAGGCAGGGGAGAAGCATGCTTCCCACTGAGCAAGGAGCCCAATAATGGGACTTGATCCTGGGATGCTGGGATCATGACCTGAGCCGGAGGCAGACACTTAACTGACTGAGTCACCCAGGTGGCCCCTGTACTTGATTTCTTGATTTTGATTTACATGATATATATTTTGTAGGGGTACTACAAGAAATTATAAAAATTACTAAAGTTTGCATTTTATTTAAAGTTCTAATTGTAGCCATATTAGAAATAGTCTCAGTGTTTTAATAGTTTTTATAAATTAATATTCTGTAGAAAAATTTACATGGAAAGTAGAAGTGACAAATAGGGTTTTGGTTGCTGTGTGAAAAGGAAATTTTTCTTAATTTTTTTCAACTTCTCTTGGAAAGATACAATGGATCAATAGAAATAATTCAATAAAAAGTGAAAGAAAGGGACGCCTGGGTGGCTCAGCTGGTTAAGCGGCTGCCTTCGGCTCAGGTCATGATCCCAGCATCCTGGGATCGAGTCCCACATTGGGCTCCTTGCTCAGCAGGGAGCCTGCTTCTCCCTCTGCCTCTGCCTACCACTCTGTCTGCCTGTGCTCATGCTCTCTCTCTCTCTCTCTCTAACAAATAAATAAATAAAATCTTTAAAAAAAAAAAGTGAAAGAAACATCAATAGGAAAAAATAAATTTCCAGAAATAGTTATTGTTTTCAGAACTTTACTGTTCTTCCCAAAATGTTTTCAAACCTACTAAGTGTTTGGTTTCCAAAAGTACATGGGTGATGAGTGCATGAAGTCTGGAGAGATAATTGTAAATTTTCCAATAACAAACCAAGACTGTGGTGTTTTTAGTACAGGCGAGTCCAGATAACTCCTATGAAAAGACTAGATAAAGCTGTTTTTAGTGTGGGCCTGATACAGATTATCCACACAGCATTCTGTGTTGAGAAATACTTATCCATCTAGAAATTATTTTTCTTTGAGACTGTAAGAAAAATACCAAAGTTGAATGCCATAAAAGTAATCCATATGAAGAGCTGAATTGGAAAGTGAGGTAGACCTCAGATATAGAAAACAGTAAATGAATTTCTCCCCACTAAATTCAACATCACTCACTGATACTACAGATTCTATTATATACCCTGCCATTACAAGTTTGTCCTGGTAAAGTTTCTGCCTTCTGGAAATCAAAGAAACTATTTATTGGATTTCTTGTTTTCTTGCCCAATGAACAGTTTTCACCTCCTAGGTCATAGTCTACTTGATACTACAGTTTCATTTTATTATCTTATCTTATTCAGTCTCTTCTTTACTTTATAATCCTCCAGCATGCTTAAGTTTGAGTACAGAAAGTTAAAAATAAATAAGAAGGAGAACTTCTAAAAGTCAAAGTTAATGTAGCTTATCCCAATTTTGATCTTATGTGGGGAAAATAAAGTCTTAAATCAAGGAAATTAGCTAAGCTAACACCAAAATGTATTTGGTTATAGGAGCATAGAATAGGTCTGACATGGGATATAAACAAGGAGTTTTCCTTAATAAAGGAACAAAGATCTGCTTTATGAATTCATCTCATCCTTTGGGTGCCTTGTACATAGTACATACTATCAGACAGTGATGTTGCCTACTGAGTGACTGGCAAACATAAAAAGACTCTGGAATGGCATTTCTCAAAGTTCAGTGTATATAAGAATTATCAGGAATTATTTAAAAAAAAAAAAAGATACTTGGAGCCACACTCTGAAGATTACAATTCAGCAAGTGTACAGTTGGGGCCCGGAAATCAGCTTCTTTTATAAGTACTTGGGGGGAGGGGAGAGTGGAAAATGTGTGATTCTCTGATTACCCTTTGAGAAATGTTTTCCTGGGGTAGGATTATGTTTCAAATAATAATAGAATGTTATGTGCTTCATGTGGCAGCAGAATAGTATTAAATTTAATTATTTTAATGAATACCATCTTTAATAATAACATCCTTTGAACTTTAAGGCTTGTTGGTAAATGTATAAAATATTTTCCTTCGTAATCACCATGAGCTCTAACTTACACAATGACTTTTCACTTGTACAGAGAAATCTTACAGAATATTTTGTTGCCGTGGATGTGAATAACATGCTGCAGCTGTATGCCAGCATGTTACATGAGAGACGCATCATTATTACCTCTAGCAAATTAAGCACTGTAAGTACTTCACACTTCTCCTTTTAAGTAGAACATATTGAGCATTTCACAAAAAGACCCACGAACCTCCGCAGACTTAGAAATATTCTATGTGTACTTATGAGACAATATCTACATACTTTTTTGATATATGGTTTTAATCTGGCTCTTGAAGTACAAAAGTCTGATTTATAGAAAGCCTTCTCAGATGCATTAAGTCAGGTTAATTATTTTTTCTTATCAGGAGATGAGAGTTTTTTTTTTTTTTTTTTCTTTTTAACTCTCCAGAGTTCATTTTAGTGCCTTCTACCATATAAAGAATTCTTAAGAGCTATTATGAGATCTTTATTATTCACTTGTGGCTTTTTCCATTGGAGCTACTTGAAAGAAATCAAGGGGCCATGATAATAGCTGCTATCCTAACCTGGTAATAGGTAGATTCATCTTTGTTGCCAAGTAGTGGTTTGGGAGTAGCTTCTATAATAGTTCTGATTTGGAGGAGCTCTTCAGGCTGATAATAACTTAAAAGTCAAAGTAGCATTCTTTTTTTTAAAATCACAGGTTTTATGCTACTTGCTGAAATGTTCTTTTGGAAGGTCTTCATTACTGTGGTAAAGGCAATGAGAATAGGAGTTTTCTTGGGTCATAGAAAAATATTCAAGAGTATTTTGTTAGGTTTCCTAACCTTTTTTCTATTGTAAACATTAAAATTTTAATATTTTGACTTAAAAATTTTTAATATAAATTTAAGCATAATTTTTAGTAATGTATCAGATATTTATTAAAACGTAATGTTGCATAAATTTCCTTCCTTGCAAATTTGGTTAATTGATAAGAATAAGGTAATTTTTTTTGGTTTGTTCTCCCATAGTAGAAATGTCAACCTCATTGTATGAAGTTTAGTACGTTAGCAGCAGTTTCAGGAGTTCTCTGGGATATCTGTTTAGTCTTTAACAATGAGAAGTGGGGGGTGCCTGGGTGGTTCAGTCAAACGTCTGCCTTCAGCTCAGGTCATGATCCCAGGGTGCTGGGATCAATCCCCGCATCGGGCTCCCTGCTTGGCGAGGAGTCTGCTTTTCTCTCTTCCTCTGTCTGCTGCTCCCCCTACTTGTGCTCTCTCTCTGTGTCCAATAAATAAATAAAATCGTAAAAAAAAAACAAAAAACAAAAAACACAATGAGCAGTGTATTTTTCAACAGGTTAAATGGCCACCCCAGGGCCAAACAGCTAGTTAGGTACAGGTAGTGTTAAACTGGGTGTCCTGATTCTAATTTGGGGTTATTTCCATTACTCTACATTTGAAAAAATATACTTTTGATATTTTGAATTATAATATTGATATGCCCACTTTTCCAAAAATATTGAAAATATATTATTTTATGTATGAAAAACACATTATATGCATTTAAACATATGCTGTAGTATAATCATAGAAAAAGCACAAAGCAGTGACACAGGTAATTTGCGCTTTCTTAAAATGATACTGAGAAATTTAATCTGAGTCATTTGGTACTTTTTATATATTTGCTTTTCTGCTATTTTTTTAAAAAATATTTTTATTTATTTGAGAGAGAGAGAGAGAGAGACAGTGAGAGAGGGAACACAAGCGGGGGTAATAGTAGGGGAGAAGCAGGCCTCCCGTTGAGCAAGGAGCCCTATTTGGGGCTTGATCCCAGAACCCTGGGATCATAACCTGAGCCGAAGGCAGACACCCAACAACTGAGCCACGCAGGCACCCGTTTTCTACTGTTTTTAATTTGCCATTGAAGTAAAACCATTCTTCTCCCCATTCTCTTCCTCATTTTTTAAACATGATTTTTTCAAGATTATAAATAATATTTCTATACGGTTATTGTCCTGAAGATTAAAAAGATTGTACGAACTGTCTCAGAGGCCTAGGAACTAAATCTTGTCATGAGACCTACTATATGCTAGGCACTTTCTAGGCACTAAGGATCCAGCAGTAAGCAAAGCAAAGCTCAAACACTCTAGGAGCTTCTATTGGACTAATGAAACAAAGAAATGAATGAATAAAAGTAGCTGTTACATCTTTTGGTGGTGAGTGCCAAGGGGTAAGTGATAAAGCGAGTGTGTGTGCAGGATGAAAGGTGTGAGGGGCGGGTTTCAGTTTATGTAGAGTGGTCATGGGAAGCTGCTTGAATGGGGTAGTACTGAGCAGAGACCTGAATAAAGTACAGGAGTGAGCTATGTGAATGATTGTACAGCTTCCCTATTTACAAAAATATTTGAAATAAATCTGAGCATATGACTATTGTAAAAGACTGGCGTTCTCTTTATTTCAATTTATAAAGACCTCTTAATAGCTCAGTAACCTCTCTCTGACTCAGTTTCTTCCCATGTAAACTGGAAGAATGGGAGTAATACAATCTTAATCTCATAGGGCTATAAAGATTGAGGAGATCTATCTCTGTCTCTATAGTTATATAAACACATATGTATATGTATACACATGTATAATGCGCGTATATATATTGTGCTTAGAATTGTATCTGCATAACATTCAATGATTAAGTGATTATTAGCTTTAATTTTGTAAAAGACTAGATCTGCACTTTAGAGTAAAAATTAACATGCCTACTACCCTTTAATTTCATTTGAGTTAAATAATAAAATTATTTTAATAAAGGCTTGGAATTATTCAGGGAGTTGTTTTTATGTTTGAGGTAAACTTCTGCCAATCGTTTGAAAATTCATAGAAACTTGATGGTGATGTCACTTATACGTTACCATCTTTGTTTTGGTTCATTCCTGGGGACGGTAGGACTGATAAAAGAAACATAATTCAAGCTTGCTTTCAGGATCTCCTTACCCATACTATGTGGGAGAAGCTGTTTTGCTTGAATCTATCTTGAAAAATTCATGTGTATGTATATATCTTCCATAAATTCCATGCATAGTAACATTTAAGGTCAAACACTAGTACTATAACATAAATTAGAAATAAGCTATTTTTTTAGGAAGAATTCAGTGAAATCTCTGAAACAACCAAGGAAGGAATAGTTAAGTGTTAATGAATTGACTTGCTTTTAAGCATTTTATATTCTTATTTTATATACCGTGAAGACAATACTGTATTTAGTAATAATACAAGAAATTTTACTCATTTTTCATATTTTGAATTTACAGCCAAAATTTTAACAATTAGAAGAACATATATAACTTAAGGTGTCTTTACATTTATAATTTTATTATGATTTTAAGAATTTTGTTTGTATGGGTTTACTCTTTGACACCATATTTTGTTAGAATCATACTCGTCAACCGTATAGCTTGCTGGGTGTTTTAGTGACGATACAATGATAGAGAATCAGATTGCTTAAAGGTCCCTTTCCTTAGGTACCATTTGTAGTTAAAATTAGAATTTGTAATTTAGAGAGGTAAACTTTAAAATAAAAAAATAATTTTGAGATATGTTAGCAAAACTATCAAGAATAGTGATATGTTTAAATTTTTCATGAATTCCCTCCATATTAAAGTGTGGTATTTTTTATTTGTTTTGTTTGTTTTTAAGTCTTTATGTCAATTCCAGTTAGTTAACACAGTGTAATATTAGTCTCAGGTGTAGAATTTAGTGATTCGTCAGTTACATACACCACTTGGTGCTTATCACAGGTACCCTCCTTAATGCCCATCACATTTTTATCCCACCCACTCCCTAAAGTGTGGTGTTTTGTTAGGACCCATTATTACATTGTTTTTTATTTAAGTTTAATGAATTGGGACATAAACAAGTTAGTGTTTATTCTATTGATATATACACTATCAAGTTCACACAGAAGCGTTCCTGTAACCCTGAACAAGAACACTGATTTTATACATGCTGTAGGCAGGCCCTAGATGTTTAAGCCCCAAGTGCATCTCTGGTAGACTAGCAGACCATCATACCAAAGTCTCATGTATTCAAATCAAAGGAATAAATCATGATATTACAAGAGTATATCAGTTGACTTATTGCTGTTTTGTGACCAGAGGTAGAGAAGATTGCTGTTTAAAGTCATGTCATTGGTTCTCAAATCAGTCAGGCATGAAGTCTTGTCATATGCCTCTATAATTGTACCTCACCAGACTTCCTTTAACTAGTCAGCTGGGGCTGTGCATTTTGTCTCAAACACCCGGCTGGCCAGCGTCTGACAGGAGCTTTCTCATCATCCTGTCAGTAATATGTTAACTAGAGTGTATCTTTGTGGCCTGTAGAAGCAGGTGGAAGAGATGCTTCTCTTTAAAGCAGATGTCTAAATGTTAGCTACTATTTTGACCAATATTTAGCTGGTAAATATCACCCTCTTAAAGTCTATAAGCACATTAGTTACAGAGATTGGACTGTAGAGTGCATGTTCTTTCTGGAATAATTAGAACAAGCAATATGCTCTGAGTGCTGGAATTGTGTTAATAAACTGTAATTTCTTCCTTTGTTATAGTTGCCCCCAGGCATTTAAGCATATGCTTTTCTCTCCTTCTCTCATTAATTCCATCAAGGGCATATGCAAAAAGATATCTTGTGGTCTCTGGAAAATCGGCTATTAAAATGTAGATTTTATAGGTTTAGACTGAAGGGGAATCCAGAGGATTTTAACCTCTCCATCTGCATTTTACATATTCTTGATTTGTCTTTTAATGGTGCCACCTGTATCAGCGTTTATTCTGAAACCTGAAGCACAGAGCATCTTCTTGGAGATTAAGAATTGAACAGTTGGTGAGAGAACAAAGATTACCCACGTCTACTTCCTACTTAAGACTGTTGAAGTGTGCTTGTGCCCCTTGTGTTTTTAAAGCTGCAGCAGAGTGGTGCAGTTAAAAATTGTTATGAAGGCCTCTCAGAGAGAGAGTCTAGGAACAATTTTTAGATTTTTTAATTCTTCCCAAAGCCCATAGCAACCAATATGTCAGCTGAAACTACAGATAAGAATTCTCTTTACCAGTGTATTATTTGACATGTATACCATTCTTCTGAACATTGTATTTTCATTGGGTGCTAAATGAATGTGACTGGAGTGTGGAAA